GGGGGGGGGGGCGTATTCTAACAGGCCTGCGTGCCATGTCGTCACACGATGGATGGCATTTATTAGCCACGACAGATTGTGAGGTATCGTCTTTGCATGATGCCTAACACTGGCCAGTCGTTACAGTGGGCCATGCGACTTTACCGGGGTGCGTGCAATGGCTCTTAGATCTGAAGACGATATGTAAAGAGCTGGCAAACGCTGCTGATATAGAGAAACTAATTGATAAATACTGATATATAGTGGTATTCGTGCGTATGTTGCTTCTGTGAATAAAATTCTTGAAGACCCTGGGTTTCCTAAGTGACAACCAATTTTCAGCTCTATAAAGACGTGGTCAACGGATGAAGCAGCCTCATAAGATAAGCTGTCGCATTTATCTGAGTGAGGCAAAATTTGATGCGTGTACCGCGCGGTCATTCTGCGAAATCACTCTGTGTTCAGTTGTGTCTTTGTCTATAATCCTGGTAGTGATTGAGCATGTGTGATACTGTCTGTCTGTTTGTCTGTTTGTCTGTCTGTCTGTCTGTTTGTTTGTCTGTCTGTCTGTTTCTGATATCACTACTTGCGGCAGAATATCATACTTGAACATGCGTGGGCGCGGATGGAGCAGGATTAGGCTGAATGCATGTGAAACCGGTAGATTACGAAGGTAACGTACTGCCCATTAAATAAGAAACGGCTCGACGTTGTTTTTTAGCACTTCCTTAACTGTGTAATCTTTGCCTTAATCCGCTTGTTCCGTCACAACTTACAGACACTGATTTACGTGGAAATCAAAACATCGTAGATCATTATGTTGTTGGGATTGAATTGTGTGGAATAAATGTGACCATTTTGTCCTAAAGTTTTGTTGACGCATTTTGTGCATAACAAATAGTCGATTTTTGTAAGTATGATGATCAAATATGAATGACTTTAGACTTACACAATAAGAAATTTCATCTGCATCGAATGAATCGATGAAGTCCTATTTTGAAACGTCACAGATATAGCGTAAAATTACTGCAACTTGTAAACTGTTAAACATTTTCAATGTCATAGTCACGCATGTATGTCTCACTAGAATTCATTTCTTTCTTCGATTTCATCCAAGATTTCGAGGTTCAGAATTCGGGAAATCTGCATGTGCTTTATAACAGGCCGTTTCTCCGCTTCTGACATCAGATCACACATCGGAGGAGTGCGCAGGATGAGATTCACGTCACTGCTGCGGGTCTGGCACTGCGATATAACTTTGTTGAAGTGCTGGTTTCGAACACAGGAACAGAACTTTCTCTGGTTCTCCAGAAGCTTCGGAAAACATTGGCCAGGAAGCCTGAAGTTAAACATCAGTAGAACACTAACATCTGATCACGAACAAGCGCATATATGTTTTCCTAGCCTCTGTGCTCTCGACAGAAGCATCTGAAGCGGTCTCGCAGGTGTTGCATCCATCACTCTGTTGCACTCGGCTGATTGAACAGAACACATCCGACAAGCACCGTGTCAAACTGACTTGTTCGATTTTCGAACAAGGGCGTGGCTGTCGAATTGTCTTCAGCACGGGCATGGCGTAGGATTCTTCCATCTTGTAGTTTTCTAAATTTTGTAAATTATTTTGCAAAATAAGTTAAATTTATTTTTTCAAAATTTAAAATCGCTGAGCAACGAACGGCATTTTGGTAGGTACATGTGCAATGGAAAATGCTTGAGAGAAACGATCGAGAACGAGCATGATTAATTTACGTGAGGTGCAGGAGGAAAGTTGCAAGAAGAAATATCAACGACTACATGAGCGAAACGCTGTACTGATTTCATCATCGGCTCAGCATAATCCGAAAAATGCTGTAGTGAAGGATCAAGGACGACGGTTGAACTGTGCACAATGCACAAATTGGCTTCGACGCATAACGAGGGTCTCGGACAACGTTGGGAATGATTATGCTCTTTTGGGCACACGTGACTTCAGTTGATGTGAAGATTGAGAAAGGACGATGGGCCTTTTTAGGCAAACTCGTTGACCATAAGCCATTTATTCCAGTCTATGAACTCCTCCCGTGGAAGCCAAAACGCCAACCAGGAGGCCAGCTTGCAGCAGAGAGGAATAAAGTAGAATGTTACCCCTTTGGAGAAGAATATTTGCTGCTACTGGAATATTTGGCTCCAACTGATGCCTTATGGAAAAGCTGTTAATATGTAACGAATACATCCAATATCAAATACAAGGGGCGTTGTGCTTATGCAAATGTCTCAGGACGACGATCTCAAAAAAACGGCATTATGCGATGAAATCATTAAGTAATAAAATTGCAGTTACAAAATAAGAGAATTGGTCGTCTAGCAGATAGAAAATGCCACTTAATGTTTTAGACGCAGGGGTCATCAAAAATAGATCGAGAAAATTTAAATTTTTATCAAATTTATGCTAAAATATCATTACTATTTCATCAATTAATTATACAGAAATCTTTTCCACAGTAGTCGACACATCCTGACGAACAGGTTAGACATATTCCAGTGTATCATTGTGAACCCATCAGCAGTCAACACAATGTCAAATAGAGGATAAACGTGTCCACAAAGTAAACTTTTCAACGTACGATGGTAGAAGAAAGTGTCATCAGCTTACTGTCAGTTTATCAAAAATGCCATAGGCAGTTAGAATATTAGAAGTGCATCAGTTGATAAAATTTGCTGAGCATTATTTATTGGTGCATTATGATGTTAAACTTTGATTATGAGATTAACATTTTCTTTTTCATAACCTTAAGCACGTTAATTACTTGTCCCACCAAATTTTAGAAAACTAATTTTAGACGCGAAGGAAAT